AAGGGTAACATCATTTCACTTCCAAAGATTAGTAAAGAATATCCTATAAAGATAATTAAAGCTATAATTGATATAACTTTTTTAATTACTAAATGATACATTTTACTCATCTTACTGCCTTCTTTACTTATAACTTTCTCATTAAGTATAGCATCATCTACACACGAATGTAATGTATAAAACAATTGCTTCACTTTTAATACTTGTGAAGTGACATTCGCGTGTAACTCGGCTAAATTCTCATACGACTTTAAAAAGTCTCGTGCCGGTTCAGTTAATTCATAGCGAGTCGGTTCAATTTTGTCAATGATAGTAACTACACACCTCCGAATCGGATCATTAATGGGAATGACTTTATCTGCTTTTTTTACTATTGTTATTAATTCGGAAAGAACTAACTCTTCTTCTTCATGCTCTTCTACTAAATCATAGATTCTTTCATATAACGAATTAAGATGATGCTGCGTGGAAATGTTCTTTACTAAACGCATTGGTACAGCTACTATCCCATATCCCATCATCCCTATAACCATCATTAATCCCCACGCATTAGATGCAGCTATAGCTATCCCATACCAATCACCATTCTCATTCCATATCAAAAACATCACTAAAAAGATCCCACACACAAACCCTACAACTAAATAAAAGATGATGTTCTCACGAAGGGAAGACTTGACACGTTCGATGATGTGAAAGTCACCAGCTGAACAATACGACTGAAGAAATGGAATTGCAGTCCAACATAAAAGAGTGGTAAACCAATATAGACAATTCCATAAGATCACTAACGTCTTGTGATCCACATAAGTAAAGGGTTCATCACATATATTACTCCCCGACTCAAGGCATTTGTCATATAAACTCTATTCATTATATAGTTTTTTTAATTTATAATTTAACTATAATCATAATAGAATCAATACTCGAATTTAATTAATACTATTATTGTTAAAGTTATTTAAAAAGAATAGAAAAGAACAAACAGAAGAAATGTCGATTGGCAACAACAATGGGATGGAAAAAGAAAGACCCCACCCAATAAAGACAAACAAAGTCACATACCACCGTGTCTTAAGAGGGTTTGTAAACTGATTTAATGCGATAGAAATTGCTACAAAGAGAATGATGAACATAAATAAAAGTACCGCCCACATCTCAATATGTTATGGTATTGTTTACAATCAATTATTAGTTCTTTGTGTGTTCCTCTTAAAGACTCATGGTTTTGTTATTTAATTTATTGAACTACACTTTATAATTCAATTCGTTGAATTATTTATAGTTAATTTTAACTAGTTTTTTGTTCACTTTTTTTGATAAAACAGAAAGTTATTCACAAAAAATAAGTTTACATTTTTTTTAAATTTTTATTTTTTATTTTATTAAAAATTTTGTTTTTTTTACTAATAATTTATAATTTAAAAAGCAATTTTAGCCAAATCGATTAATTATATTTTTATTTCGATATAATTGTACATATTGAACTTATTATTTGTTTTCTCCATAATTATGTTATTACCATTTTATTATAATATTACTATTAATAGTATATAATATGTTATAATCAGTAAATTTTTCAAAAAAAAACTATTCATTATTTATTTTTATTTTAAATAAATAATTTTTAAATTATAATTAACATATTCAACACCAAATTAAACCATTTTAATAATAATTTTACTTATAATTAACTAAACACTGTTAATATAGACAATTAGATATGAAAAGACAAACTTGAGAAACCCAAAAAAAGAACTCAGAAAAGGAGTGATGGAAGTAGAGGACAAAGTACAAATCACAGGCATTGAGACCCATGGCGAGAAATTGTCATTTAGAATTTACAACACAGACACTTCTTTTGTGAATGGTCTTCGTCGAATGATAATGGCTGAAGTACCTACCATTGCCATTCAACTTGTTCGTGTCCACTTAAACACATCATATCTCTGTGATGAGTACATCGCTCATAGACTTGGCCTCATTCCGCTCGACTCGACTAAGGTCTACGATTTCGAGGATGTTTGTCTGTACCCATACCCCTTGTTAACTAGTATATCAATAGTATATTTATAGCAGTAATAGTAACGTGAAGGGCGACCAAACGATTTTCAATATCCGAGTGGTCAACGAGAATGAGAGAGAGTCGCTGAATGTCACATCGAACGACCTCCAGTTTGTCGAAGGGAAGAAATTGTTTCCTGTTGGATACAAATCGGATAACCCAATTATTATCACACAACTTGGCCCACGTCAGTCGTTGTATGTTGACTGCTTCGCGACAAAGGGGACGGGGAAATTCCACGCGAAGTGGAACCCGACGTGTCAGTGTGTATTTCAGACGCTTGCCGACATCCAAATCAACGAAACTAAACTCGCGAATTTAACAGGGGAACAGAGAAGAACGTTTTGCGAGATGTGCCCACAAAAGGTCTTTGAGTTCCAAGAGATCAATGGGAGGATAACTGTCGATCATCCTGAGAGTTGTATATTTTGTCAAGAGTGTACAGTCTATTCGAAGGATATTGGACAAAGAAACTTTTGTACAGTAACTCCGAAAACAGATGAATTTATTTTTAAAGTAGAAGGCACTGGGGTGTATCCTGCAAAGTCTGTCGTATCTTATGGGTTTGGGGAGATGATTAACAAATTCAGTTACTTAAAGAGTGAACTTGGGAAGTTCAAGTGATTTTTGATTATTATTATAAATTTTTATTATAATTTTTAATAAAAATTATAATAAATTTAATTAATAAATTAATTAATTTCGCCGAAATTAAAGACTCGAATAGAATGAGTGAAAGTGACGTATAACTTATATTCGAAATGATTGAAAACACAGGAAATTAAAGACTCAGAGTCAGAACCTAATAACATTGAAAAGACTATTTTTCCATTTTCGAATATTTTAGCGACTTTAGTTGAAGAGTCGATCAGAAATAACCGATTGTTTTCAAAATCAGCGAAATAGGAATGAACAGAGAAATTGAGATGGGTGACCGTCTCTTTTATTTTAATTGAATTAGTCGTCACTTGAACTGTCTTGTTATTCATTGTAAAAACCCCAAGAAGAGAAGCAACGTCGTTGAATTGGCGTATTACATCGTCACCGAAAATCCAATAACTGTTGTGACATAAAATCATGTTTTCTCGCATTAGAAGAGGAGCCGGATGTTGTACTCTCCACCCATTGACAATGACTGGTTCATTTTGTTCGAAGACTAAAGCTTGAAGGATTTTGAAGTCTGGGTCTAATACTCTAATCATGTTTTGGTCCAATTCTAAACCACATAAGATGATATTCTTGTTGTGTAATGCAGCGAAGGAAAAGACTGAATTTGGGAACACTGATTCTTTCATAGCGCCATTGTCCGAAAGTTGAATGACGGAGTGTTCTGTCACGAAGTAATCGACATCACTTTGGAGTAAAGCGATGACTTTATTATGTGGGGTGTATTGTACTAATAAAGTGGAGTCAAGAGTATATTTATAGACGACGTTGTTGATACAGCAAAAGACGATATTTCCATTTCTCGAGACTAAAGAAGGGTGTTCAGCAAATGTAAAAGTCGTGGTGACGTCATTGGGATGGAAAATGATTAATTTATTATTATCGACGATGTCGAGATCTCCAGTAGTTCTATTATAGTTTGTGTGAGAAATAGAAGACTCTGTGGTGAATATAGTCTTAGCATTGTAATTCTTAACACCTCCACATATATAGCAACGTCGTCGAATATATAAAGATATAAATTCCGACTTCCATGAAACTCCCAATTTGTGTTGATATGAGGGATTAATCAGTAACACTTTGTCCATCCAAACATCATCCAAATTGGAAAGTTCATACAACTTTTTACATGTGCGAGACAAGAGACAAGTCACCTGAGGATCATATTTCATGATTTCGATGATGGTATACTCGGGAAGACTTAATAAGTCAAATGGATGTTTCTCTTCTATAAGTTGTGTTGTGTTATCTTCTTCTATAGAAATAGTGTTTTGTGCCTTGTAATGCTCCATTCGAGTCTTTAATACTTCGTCCACTACAAATGGTCGACCAAATGGCATTTGACAGGTCGGACATACGTTGTCCTCTCGAAATATTTTTCGTATACAGGTAAGGCAAAAGGTATGACCACACGATAGAGTCACTGGATCAATAAACTCGTGGCTACAATAACTGCATAAAAAGGGGTCCATCTTATTATTCACATTTTTGAGTTCGAATTTGTCTTTCGAAAACGACTCAAAACAACTAAAAATTTGTTATTCAAATTGTTTTTATTTTCATTTTGTTATTAAAATGTTATTCAAATTTTTAATGAAAAAACAGAAAAAATCTAATTTGAGAACAAAAAGAGAAGCGGCATAAACGAAATTTTATTACCATAATTGTTTTTTTTTTCTTTTAATATCTATTTTTCTTTGATTAAATTAAAAAAAAAAAAAGTTTACTTTGATGATAAAAATGCCGCACCAGTAGGATTTGGACAAGTTTCTAAAAATAATTGTCAAAAATCAACAAAACTATTAGGAAACCATATTTGAATTAGAACCAAACCAAACAATACACTTTCCCAAAAACAAAGCAGAAAAACCCACAGTTCTTCCTCCACCACTTCACATAAAAATGGGAACACTTATGACGGAAAATCCCGATAAAATAGATACAAATCTCATCACAAAAAGAGAAACCTGGTGGAACGCGTTATTAACGTGTTCTGTCAAAACAACATCTCAAAAAGCATAAACAATTAATGGCGAACCCGCACTCGTCAATTCCTCGCCCCCGTTCCTCCCCGTCACAAGACGATTGTCCAACGCCGAATATAGCGGAGTATATCAAATCGATTCCAGCGTGGTCACCCGAGGAACAACTGATCTTGGAGGAGAACATGCGGCACTACCCGTCCTCACAAAACGCGGAGTTCAAGCGGTTGACCCTATTGATGACAAATTTGCCAAACAAACGGTTACGCGACGTCTCTCTCCGTGTGAAGTACATGAAGGCCAAAGAGAAGGGTGACATCACCTGGGAGAACTTCTTACAATCATCTTTTGGTCAACAGAAGGTGGAGTTATCTCCATCACACTCCGTCAAATCACCCCGCGCCACACCCGTCGAACGCGAAGATGACTCACAGAAGAAGGGAAGAAGACCAATTCGAATGAAAAAGGAAGACGAGGATCTTTCAATGTCATCAAACTCAAACCAAGTCTCTTCCGTCGTCTCTTCTAATTATAACGTTAGAGGAGATAGAGACGCTTCTATGTCGATCTCTTCAAATAATACAACGCCTTTGACTTTCTCACAACCCCCTCCTCAGTTCCAATTGCAACCACCACGGGCTCAGTTGTCCACTAGTAACATCCCAATCCAACCACAACCACACGCGTATAACAGACCAGGAATGTTCCAACAACCTACTTTCCAACCACCACCTCAACAACAAAGGGTCCCTCAACCTCCTCCACAGATGATGTACCCCCAACAGCCACAACGCGATCGTTACCAACTTCCTGATGATCAGACGTGCCACCAATTGTTAATGGACAACGAGAGATGCATCGAGACTATCACACAATCGATATTACAGAAGAGAGGAGACATCTCGGAGTCCGTTGCTGTGTTCAATTCGAATTTTAACAGGCTGATGCAGATCACTAATCAGATGGGAATGATGCCGGCTTTTGGGTTCCAGCCGATGGGAATCAACGCATCGCCGAAATTCAAGAAAATCGATATGCCACCTCAGGACTTGAGAAACTCGCAGTCGACGTACGGGTTTGACTTCAGCGTTGGGAAGCCAATGCAGCGCGATTTGTCGTTGGACGGAAGAAGAAGCGATTTGATGTAAGTCGTCCGATTTTTCTCACCACCACGATAATAACTTTGTCTTTGTTTTAAATTTTGTTATTCACGCCATTGGACGGAAAAGAAAAATTTGTACTTCTTTGGAAATTGGAAGAAAGAAGAAGCGCCAACTTGAAATTTGCGCGCGAACTCAGAATTTGTGTGGAGATCTTTCAAAATCGACCCAAAATTTGTGAATGTCCAAATTTGTTATTCCCTGCGAATTTTGTTATTTAAAAATGGTATTGAAATGTTATTGTCAACGAAGTGTTAAACATTTGAGTTTCTATTAAACGATCAAACCCCGTTCAAAGTTATAAAGAATGAGTCTTTGAAATACATTGGAATGATGATAAAGAGTGGTATTGGTTGTGGCGTTTGGAGTCAGAGTTTGAGAGATTAATAATATATAAAGAATTAATTGTTAGGGAAGAGTTATAAAAAATAGTGTTGTACAATTTTTATACGACTCATTGACAAATAAGCATTTCTTATTTGTCAATGAGTGACGAGATGATTTGTATATGTGATAAGTATATACATATATACACAATACGGTTCAGCACGTCAATTAATATCGAGATGGAAAGGGTGACAAGAAAGTAAACAACAGACGAGTTGTAAAGGAGTGTTGTTTTGTTATTTTGTTTGGATTTGTGGCGTGCCTATAAACAGATCGAATGTTTTGTTTTTGGGAGGAAAAGACATTTTGGTTGAAAAATGCAGAATCCCAATCACCAATTTGCATGAGATGATTTTTGGTGACCAAAACTTGGGATAAAAAAATGTTGCTATGAATGTGGGTGTTGAATGATTTGACACCCGTCAGTGCAAAAAATAGCACCACCTCTTTTCAAATAGTTCTTAATTTGTAATTGTATCACTTTCATAATGCAATAATCCTTGGTTCGATTATTTAAATTTGCTGGTCTTTTTAAAAATGTTGAGCTCTGGTTCTCCAAAAACCATTCGAAAGACAATCAAATTGTTCAAAAATTGTATTAAAAACAATGGAAAACAAACCATTCAATCAAGTTAGTAAAACTGATTTTTTCCTCTTGTTTCGAAAATTTTTGGTCGAAATCTTTAACAAAAACATTTTTTTTAGTAAAAACAGCCGCATTCCATTGATTTCATCCATCTGTTCTTATTTTTTTTATTAACAGAAACTATATGCATTGACATTTTTATTATAATTAATATAACTTCTAATTCTATTTTCAATTTTTAGTTACAACCCAAACTTTGTTTCGATTGAAAAAGATCACTATTTTTCGTCATAGATTGAAAATACAATTTTATAAATTGGGTTGGTTTATATAAATTATATTTTCAATACAAAAATCACATTACAGATCGAGTATTTACGGGGTGCCAGAAACTTATTGGGTGCCAGAATTATTTTAAGACATAAAATGAGTTTGGCACCCATTTTCATATCAATTATTATCAAGAAAAAAAAACAAATAAAAAACAAATAAAAAACAAAAAATTAAAACCCGAATATTTACATCAATCAATCCTCTAATTTCTTGGCACCTATTAAATACTCTATCTGTATTTTTGAAAGGATCTTGAGTTACGACGAAATATTTTCGACGATTTGTCAACGATTTTTTTGAAAGCAACAGATTGCGCCACAATATCCAAATTCCCATTCCAAAAAATAACTTAATAATATGAAACTAGACACAAGTTATAATTTAATTAAAATGAATAGCACAACAGCTGTTATGAAATGATGTATGCATATTAAACACCATCACTCAAAAAAAATGATATAGTTTTTGCGAATTTCTGAAATAAATCACAAAAATTATAATGTGAATAATTATAGTATAGTTACTATAAAAAATAATAACTTTTTTAATACTGTGAGAATGGAATAAAAAACAATGTTTTGGCAAAAAAAGGATAAAGAAACACAAAAATTTGAAGTTTGATCTCTCGTTTTTCTTCGAAAATGAAAACACTGTAAAAAATACATGCACAATCGCCTTTTTTCCCATTCGATGTGTTTTGCAAATAAATTTATTGATCAACAATTTCTTGTTAAAAAATAAATTTTTCCACAGTTTTTGTTTTCAGGAGGTCTTATGCTTTATGACCAAATTACCTTCTCAGCATTATTTTATTATATTTTGGTTGGTGTGTGTTTATTGTTTCTTTTCTTCAATAAATAATCAAGACGAGGAAACCCAACAACAATTTCAAAATAAAAAACTGTATGGTCCCATAACTATTTTGTTGTAAAATGTATCATAAATCATAGTATATTTATAGCATTTCATTAGTAGTTTTTTTATTAAATTGTGATAATGCACTTTTGGTTTTTATTTGTTAAAATGAAGTTCAAGATCTTTAAAAACTACATCTATAAAAATTTGCTTAAACCAGACTATTAACTATGGTTTTTAATAATAACTGTTATTACCAAGTTAGTAATACGTTTCTCAAATACTTAAAATAGAACCAAATTATAAAGAATGTTTCTTAACAAAGTTTAAATATATCAACTTCTCATTTTTTTTATTTTTAACGGAAATAAAAAGCTGCAAGAAAAATGACAATAAAAAACAAGCCAAATGATGTAATTTTCTTTCCGATAAAAAACAACTTTTTATTTTTTGTGATCAACATTTTGATAAAAGTTGTGTCACGCTTTTTTGTTTGAATTGTTTCAATCATTTAATCCTGATAAATTGATGATTAACGTCAAAAATAACTATTTTAATTATAATTTCGAAACCCATTGACTTTAGATTATTTTTAATTTTTTTTTAAATGTTTTTATTTCAATTTTTTTTTTCCGAAGTTCACTTTCTTTATCTTTTTATAAATAACAAATGTTGTATATTTATTATTGTATATTTATTAATAGTTGAATAATTAAAATTGTTTTGCAAAAAATGACCCTTCACCCTTGATTGAACCTTCATTTCTATTAATTGTATCAATTAAAAATTAGACCATACTACCATGTATCTTGATTAACAAATAACCTATAAATTCTAATAAATACCATAATTTGGAACTTCCCGTGCAAATAATGTTGTAATGATTACAACAGCACT